AAAAAAAAAAAAGTAACACTGTAGCAGCAATATGTCTGTGATAGCCTGACCCATTTTCTGCACGTAGGCCAACTTTACATCTTTCCCCATCCTCAGAGCTCACAGCCCTGCCTGGTTAGTGTGTCTTCTCCACTGGGGAAGCAGAGAGGCCAAAAGTGAGCACATCCACCTTTGCTGAGGGTATTCCTCCCTGCACAGCAGAGTAACTGCTGCATCACTAAGGAGGGAGTGAAAGCTGGGGTTTTGCTTTTCAGTGGGGTCCCAGTGCCACAACCTCCATTACAAGGGATGCACTTCTAAGATGGGTCTGAACGTGAACTGTCTTGAGACAAAGAGGCAGGAAGGTGATAGACAATGGTGTGATGGACACATAGAGCTGACCAGCAGTGAGAGAAGACTTGGGAGCTAGTTGCAGAAGGCGTTGGTGTGGACAAGGGAGTATTTTAGATTATTTTGACAAGAAGGATGGGATTATATTTGGGAAGAGGGATGTGCTGGAAATTTGGTACTGTGATAGGACTGGCTGAAGAATGAAACTGGTACTTCAAGAAGAAAGGATGGAGCTGGGGATAAGAAGCTAGTAGAAGGACAGAGGACTGGGAAGAGGATATATTGGAAGGGATAATTTAAAAAGAGTCAGAATTGCAAAAAACCAGCAACATAGTCTGTGTAAGTTATAGCACATGACTGTCCAGATCATCTGGAATGGAGGAAAGTAGTGAATGTTGTTCTGCTCTGTGCGGCAGTTCACTCTGATTTTATTTTCTTTTTTCAGTGTGTGATAACTATTAAGTGGCCACACTACAATAACGAACACTAAAATAATTTAAACAAATATTTTTGCTCCTTTGGCCCTTGAGTTTATCTTGCATTAGATTTCTTTTTCTTCCGAAATAGCCGTTGACCCTTTAAGCACTTGGTTCTGCTCTGACTCTTGCAAGACTTTGCAATTGTCTGCATTGACTAGCTTCCCCTCTGTTTTTCCCCAAAGTTGAGAGAAGAGGCATAAGCTCTGGAGGAGGGTCATTATTCTGTTTTAAAGGCAGATGGTATATTAAAGATACTGCGAGCTTCTTAAAAGATACTTTGTCTAAGAGAGGGAATACTCTGAAGTAGACCAGAGCTGAAAGGCCTTTGAGATGCAGTCCCTGCTGGAATTGTTTCAGAATATAGTTCTAGCCAAAACCAGTGGTTGTGTGGCCTTTCTTCTCCCGTGTGTGACATGGTCCAGCTGCTTTGCAACCTGTTTACGTGAGGTTTTCTGAAAACTGAGTGAATGGAAAACATTGACAATACAGAACACTGCTGGCAGTTAAGAAGACAGGTAACCTCTGTGCACCACTAGCATCAATACCGTAATTACTTAATTTAACTTGCTGCAAGCTGGCAGTACCTCCAGAGAAGCCGCCTTTGCAGACTCCTCTGGAATAAAACTTCTTCTGGTGCTAGTTTATTTTTTTGACTGCATCAGTTTTCTGATCTTATTTGCTGCACAGTACCTGAATGCTGAGGGTAGGGCCACTTCACCTCTGCGCTTGTTTAAGCCGATTCTGTAGCTACAGCATGTTTTCCCATTTCCAGTTTATGAGCAAAGTGCTTTCTAAGTGATTTGTCCCTGTTTTGAGATAGGGGGAATAAATGAGCAATAGGGAGAGAAGTTACTAGTCCAAAGTCACTAATGTGGAGATGGCAGAGGACGGAGTTGAACTCAGGATTGTTTATGTCCTCATGCAATTCCTTGTCCCTTAGATTATGGTATCCAAAACAATATAGCTATTTAATTTTCTTTACAAAAATCTACTATAGATGCAGTTTAGTGTGTATGGCTTCTCTGCAGTGGCTCTTTTTCTGTTAGATTACATCTCTTCCAGAGACTTCATTTTCTATCAAAGCTTCTTTGCTTGAAAAGGATGCTGGGAACAAGAATTTCCCATCTTCCCTTGGATGTTAAAAAGATCTCTCACACCTCTTTTGAATTATATTTTGGTTTCTGTCCTAACTGTCTTCTTTTTGATGGTCAGAGTTGTTCAAGGTTCAAATTCTCCATTACAAGGCTATATTTTAATCTCCTTAGTGTTCCAGGTAGATAGCACGTAGGATTTGAATCTTGGAAGGCATATTTCTTACTGAATTGTGAACTGATCATTAGTAGTGGGTTTTTCTTATGTTATTTTCAATGTAGCACATGAAAAAACTTGCTGCTTTTACAGGAGGCTTTAAAACCTTCCTAAAGCTACCCTTTCCATTTCCTTTATTAAACTCTATCTATTCCATTAATGGGGCTGTTAACAGTTAGCCAAATTGTCAATAATATTCTCATACCTACCAAGGTGATTTAGACTCCAGGTCCAATTACTCCACAGGTAATGTGGGTACTTGGTATAACATCACATTAAAAGTTTGTGGGGCTTGGACTGTAGCAACACATCTGCTTTGTGCACAGCACTGGGGTTGAAGCACTTTGGACAGTAAAAGCAGCAGGGCTGCAGTGGCTGGGTGTGGGTTAGCTTTTTCTCTGCTGAGACTAAGACACTTATATAGCTGCCTGCCTCTCTAGGAATTAGAGTCTGGTTCAAAGTCACTTGGAGGTATTTGGAAAATATGAGTCGGGTATAATTTTCAACTACTAAATTAGTGTACGAAATCTTTTAAATACTGCAGGCATGCTGGAGTGCCTACATGGTCTAATTTTGCTTTTATTATTCTTTAGTTTTCACGTAAGCATGAGTTTCTCAGTGGTCTTTGAGACCGCTGATAAATTGCTCATTCAAGGGCAGATTTCTCGATTGTAGAGGTAAAAATAGTTTAGTTGTTTAGAAATGTAATCATAAGTAAATTTAAAAGGCTGGATTATTCTTTTCAGCCTTGAATTATGAAACAGCAGGTCATAGAACCATATTAAGATTAAAAGGTTTGATTGTTTATCTGTAACCTTTTTATGAGATTATGTAACTGCTGCTTGTTGTAGGAAAAACTCTTTGACTATCAAGAGATTAGGCTGGGGGGGAAAATTGTTTTGGTGCTGTGTAGCCTATATTGCAATTCCATGGGAATTTTTTTTCCTTTCATCCACATCTAAGTGTATGTTAGATTAACTAAAGGGCTTCCAGAACTCAGGGAATCTTTTTTGGTTGTTTTGTGGGGTTTTTGTTTCTGTTTTTTTCTTCCTGTGATGAAAGCCAACATCTGAGTTAGTAGAACACAGTGTTATATTTTTCATTTATAGCTTCTTAATCGAGTAATACAGAAAATTAGTAATAGCCTTTCAGATTCAGTAGATGACTTAATCTCCCATATTGAAACATGCCTGGGTGAAAAATTAGTATCCAAAGGATGGCTGTATCTGGTTCTGTGAGATACATGCAGAGTTGTGACTGCCGTTCACTAATCACTCTCATGTCTTATTAATACGTTTTATCATGAGATACTTTATTATTTTCAAGGAGGGTTTGTTTTTTTGTTTTTTTTTAATAGAAACCTTCCTGGAAAGTTAGGGAAATAATTGGATCATTCAGTCAGACTTACTAATGAAGTGTGTATTTCTCAGTGTGTGATAGATTCTAAACCTCTTACTGGCACCGGCGAGATGTTTGATTTATACAGTTAAAGCCCTACTGTTGTCATGAGTGACTATGGGTAAATTGTCAGCTTTATTTTAATTTTGGTGACAAAAAAGATACCATTACTTATACCATAATTACTACCATTATTCTTTATACATTGGTTGAATAATTCATATTTAACTGAAATCTAAATGTGTCTGATGCACTTCAATTTAGTAACTGCTACCTGAAGTTCTTAACAGCTTAATTAACTGAGGTGATAATGTTTACCTATTTCAAATAACGTTTTTTCCTCTTAAGTATTTTCCAGGTAAGTCAATCATTCATTGCATCTTCTTTACGCAGAAAGTAACATAAAATATTGTAGCAGCTGTGTAAAAATCTAATTAAACTTGGATTGTCTTTAACTAGTTCTGGTTCTGTATTTACATTTTCAATCTGTTTTGTGAATACTTTCGTTCTAGGTAGACAATGTTATTAGCTCAGATAAATCGAGACTCTCAGGGAATGACTGAATTTTCTGGAGGAGGAATGGAGGCCCAGCATGTGACTCTTTGTCTAACAGAAGCTGTAGCTGTGCAAGGTGAACTTTCACATTAAAATATCCCTACATTATTGTGTCTTTTCTGTTTGAAATTTAGATAAAACTCATGTAGTGTATTCAAAATGAAAGATCTAACAAATTATTCTTAGTTAACTGAGATTGATTAAGTTCACTAATTTAATTCTGGAAGGAAAATGATCTCTTAATTAAGTTAATAACAGTGTAAATGTGCCAAAATAGGAAATATAAAATCTGACTTTATTCTCACTGTAGTTTTACTGTTTTATACTTTGTAACTTCAGTTTATATCTAAGTATATATTGAACATGTTGAGTTTTAAAATAGATTGGTGATCTAGGATTGGTGTTTTCTGCCAGCTTCGTTATGATTTTACATTATTAAAAACTTTCCTAGATCTGTGTTTTACTCTAAATAGATTTGTATATATTGACAGGTAGTACTGTGCAAAACAAAATTATCAGTACAGGTATATATATATATCACTCTTTCACTGTTGACACTCATGACCTGATTAATATTACTCCTAAAACCTCAGCTTTGTAGTTATTTATTCAGTGACATACTAACTTTTTCAGTTAAGGAAAATAACATTCTATCTGTCATGTTTACAGAGCAAAATCTTGAACATATGACCCTAGTTTATGTTCAAGGTTCAAAAGCTAGAAAGTAAGAAAGAACTATTTACTATTGTAATTTCTGAAATCATTATGCTTTAAGGGGTTGTAATCATTTATGGAGGTGGTTAAGTTGTGATTTTTAGAGTTTGATGCTGATAATAGTGAATATGAACTTTTTTCCTTGCTAGATGGTGACAACTTAGAAAACATGGAAGGTGTAAGTTTGCAAGCAGTTACCCTTGCTGATGGCTCCACTGCTTACATACAGCACAATTCTAAAGGTAGGTAAATGACTAGAAGTTGATTGGTGTTGAAACTGTATTCCCCTTTTTAACGCTGTCTTTGGATGGTAAACCCCTTTGGACTGCAAAGTCAGGCAAAATCTGTACAATGTTTATGGAGCTCAGATTTCATCTGGGAATTACAGGTATCACAGTAATACTATAAAATAAATATTTATTTCTGCTAATAATAAGATGCAGTATCAAATACAGAACATAAGTCAAACAAAAGTGAGATGATTTTTCCACTTCAAAACCAAATACAAACGGTCTGCCTACTGGGTAGGACACCATGCCTTCTTTATTCTTTTATCGTAGGATTTTAAAACCTCTGTGTAGTCATACTGTGCTTACTCTTTACCAAACGTTATTTCTTAGTGATTTTATTGATATTTTAATCCAGAAATTATGAACTGTCTGTTTAAACTGTGATGTGTCATACAGAACATTTTTAAAGAATTCTAATTGTGTATTTCAGATGGTAAATTAATGGATGGCCACGTGATTCAATTAGAAGATGGTTCTGCTGCTTATGTTCAACATGTATCCATGCCTAAAAGCAGTAAGTGTAATAATACAAGAGATACATTCTAAAATAAGGTATTACTGATAAATATTGATATTAAGTAGTTATAATGGCTTGATTTCTTATTTTGATGGAAAGAGTTGTGAAGAGATCCTAGGTATTTTGTAATCCTAGGTATTTAGTGTTTAGTCTCTCCAACTAATGGATTCTTCAGACTACATTGTTGAAGCATTGTAATTCTTCTGAACAGGGGACACCTTGCGTCTGGAAGATGGACAAGCAGTTCAGCTGGAAGATGGAACTACGGCATTTATTCATCACACCTCAAAAGGTAATTTTTTTTTTGAAGTGTGATTTTATTAGAGTCCAACAGGACTTAAGCAGTATAAAATATGGTGCTCTTTTTAGACTATGACATCGATTAGTGCAATTCCCAATGTAGATTACTTGTTGCTTTTACTTTGTGACATCTGGAAATTGTTGAAATTAGTTTCTTATTTGGGCCTCATATAACAGTTGTGAACAGAATCAAAACCAGCATATCTGACTCTTTTTTAGCCCAGGATCACATTAAAGGAAGTATATGTCACGTAGGTAGAGAATGTAAGCCCCTATACAGATTTCATCAATAATTGCATGTGAAAATGAGAAGAGAAATCAGGTAAGAATCAATCAATCAATCCCTCTTGAGCTAAAGAATGTAGATTGACTTGAATTTTAAAGATCATGCTATTGATGATTTTGCCATTAGGTAGTAGGGCAGAAAATGTGACAGCTGACAGTCAAGAATGCAACCATATTTATTTTAAATGATAACTTAGATTTCTGCAGATTATGATTACACTAGTCTTGGAAATAATACTACTGCTCTACAAAAAGTGAACAAGTAGATATTTTAAGTCTGCTTAAACTAGTGTGACAAGAATTACATTCTACCATCAGCAATACTAAGAGGAGAGAATATAATAATTTCTTCCCTAAAAGTCATTCTATATTTCATGTGTTTCTTTTGCATGTTTGCATGATTCTGTTCTTAAAATGATCAGATTTATGAATTCTAAAATCTGAAGTATTGGCATCAGTACATGCGTTACATTATTTTAATTTTATTATGAGTGGATATGAAATGGAACACGTATTTGTGTTCCTGGATTCCTTTGTAAATAAAGCTAGACCAATATAAAATTGGTTTTGCACTTTTGTCAGTGTGCAAAAATAAAGCTATGGGAGGGTTTGTCTTGAAAAAAAAATTAATTGGTGCTATTCAGAGTAATATTTTAAGTGTTCATATTTCTCATATACTAATGATTATATTTCTCATGTATTTCATACATATATATGACTTCAGGAGACATTTCCTAAACAGCAGTAGTTTCTCGTGTAACATGCAGACATTGCTAATCCTTTTCTTTCATAACACTCTGTAATACTATTTCTCAGACAGTTACGACCAGAGCGCATTACAAGCAGTCCAGCTGGAGGATGGAACTACTGCCTACATTCACCACACGGTGCAGATGCCGCAGTCAGATACCATTTTAGCCATTCAAGCTGATGGCACAGTGGCAGGTCTTCATACAGGAGATGCTGCCATTGACCCAGATACCATCAGTGCTTTGGAGCAATATGCAGCCAAGGTATACTGGAAGACATTTTCTCTGTCCATAACATTTTAATGTAGCATCACAAGATATTTTGCAGCAAAAGCCAATTGCAATCTAAGAATTAAAATGATAAAGAGAGTTTTCAGACCGTGAGGAGAACACCAAATTGTCATGACAGTGCTTCACTATAGTGAGCAGCTCCAGTGTGTAGTGTTGCATAAAAAGAAAAAAGGATTGAACACTGAAATTGTGTGAAGTCAGACTGCTTTGGAAAGTGATTTAAACAACTAAATAATAATTTTGTCTAAAATACAGCATTGGAAAGGAGCCTCTTGAGAGGATACTGCTTGGAAAGAAGGACAAAGTTAAATTATTCTTGTTCAGGCACTATTGCTGGATTTATTTTTTTTTTGCATTGGGAAGAGTAGGGCCTGGTGTATTGGGCAAGGACAACACATGGCATGAAGTGTAAAACAGACAATTAGACAGTTACTGAGTTTGGAAAAAACTTCTTTAATCCATACTTCCTACAGTAAAATGTAGTATGATGCTCAAAATTAACGTTCTCCACTTTCCTGGACTTCTGTAAAGCACGATGCAAATATAATAATGGGCGGTGCAACTTCCATGACTTTATAGTTTAGCAGTGTCTCAGTTGATGGATGATTACCATCAGTGCTTGTACTGCTGTGGAAAAAGACTAGAATAAATTCTAAAATCTGTTCTCTGGTGTCACTGAGAGTTGTCAAAATTTGAGAGAAGGCCAGTTAGGATAATTAAATGGCTATTACACTGTTTTTTCCATCATGTTTCTCTCTGTTATAAATGAGAGATCCTAAGAGAGCCAGTCAGATTGGGCTAAGTCAATGCCACCTTCCTCCCAAAGCAACTGAGGAAAAAAGACACCATTGCTCTCAGTGAATATAGAGTCAGAAGACATGTGATGGAATTGTGAAGAGGTTACAACACATACTTTTCTTCCATAAGCTGTTTTCCTGCAATATCCCAGTTGCTGGAAAAGGACAGTTCCTGGGATTTGTGTATGTCTGCACGCATATTCCATTTGTATCATTTTTTTCCAGTGGCATTTATGAACTTGTAATTCCATATCAGCAGTTCCTTTCTCAGTCAACAACAGGAAGCTCAGGATGAAGTGATTCGTCTCCTTTCTGTGCAGGTTCTCTCCCCTCCCTTCAAAAATTCTTCAGGAGAAGGTCACAAATTGGCTCTTATTTCCTTTAAAAAAACCCACCTGCTTGTAAACTTTGTAGTCTCTCTGTAATGTAAACTTGCCTCTGCTTGGGCACTTTCCTTTTCACTCTTTTAGCTCAAAGTTGCCAAAAGTATACTGCTCACAATTGTCTAATTTAGAAAGACAGTACAGTATGAAAACCTCTTATGAGACAAGGTCATCTTCAGTCTCCAAGCGAAATGTTGGTGGCTGATGCTTTGAGCAAGATACTTTATACAACCATTAACGTTCTCAGGAGCCTGCTCTGGCCTCCTTAGTGAAAAGGCATAAGCACGTGAGCTGAGGTAGGGTTCCTGACAAACTATTATAGAGAAGAATAAAAACACTTACACTAGATTTAGGCGCATCAATCAGCCTTGAGTGTAATGGATGCAGAAAGTATTGTGAATGCCTGTGCCCAATACAGAGGCAATTAAAGAATGGGAAACTATGTAAAGTATACTTTAAATTAATTTTTTTCTACAATGGCTAATAAGATGCTGTTCTTTGAGTTGATGTGTGTGAGAGAGTTTTTTCTTTAAACTGGGCAATTATATTTTTATTTAAATAAAAGTTTCACATTAATACTCTTTCAATAAGCTCCTTGGAAAGCAGCAATAACTTTCTCCTCCTGTAGATTGTTTTTAAAAATAAACCTACGGAGCAATACGCAAGTCTTTGCTTAGCTGCTGTGATTTGACTATTTCGATTTGAGATGTAACACACTGTCTTAGGTATTTTGATTCCAAAGGAGTTGTGCTGTTCAAATAAATTCTGCTTAACAGGGAGTGAAAGATATACCCCTGTTATAAAAGAAGTAAACATTTTAATTTTTTTTTCCTGTCAGAACTCAGTATTGTTAAATTTATTAATTTATTTTAATATTTCTGTCAGTCTGTTAATTTAACATGCTTGGTTGTTGAAGTCTTTTCTATCTTGTTTTAAGACAGCTTTGAGATGCTCACTTTACCTATTCTATAATGCAGGTGCTACAACTGGTGATTTTCATGTGAGCTAACGTACTGTAGGATAACCATCTTTCAGGAGGGAGCTAGAGAGCTATGAAATAATCAACCCTTGGGAACTGTCTGTAGCGCTCTGTTTTTCAGATGAATAAAAATAACCTATAAATGTTTTTGCCATTTCAACTTCATTTTTCAGGTGTCTGTTGATGGAAATGACAGTGTTAGTGGCACAGGAATGATAAGTGAAAATGAACAAGATAAAAAAATGCAGGTATGTAGCCCAATAAAAAATAATTAAATATATCTGTTTCTTCTCTCTTCTCTGCCCAGCAAGATGCATGATAGGTAGTCCAGTGTAGCCATGAAGTAGGGTCTGCTGCTACACTTGAGGAATTTTAGATCTCAAACCTGACCAGATAGCTCATACTTCCCACTTTGTACAAGATCCTTTCACAGGATTTTAAAGATCTCTTCTAATACGTACCATTTTCTGGGGTCTATCTGTTAAAAGGTAATTAAAAAATTATGTTGTATTTCTCAGATTTTTTCAAGCTGACCTGAGTATTTAATCAGCAAGGGTGTATTTCAGAAGCTCTTTTCAAGAGAATGAACTGACTTTTTATAGTCCTTTAAAGCAGAAGGAATGCTGACTCAATTATTTTCTTCTCAAGAGAGACAGTTCCAGGCATATGTCTGGAACTGTTCTCTCTTTGGTGACTTATTTTTATTCCACTCGCCCTGTTAGAGTCCTTGACTTTTATTGCAGGTTTTATAAGTAATCAGTCACTAAGAGTGTTGCTCCTAGTGAACACTTGAAGCAGAAAAATACATCCATTTCTTTTTCTGTATTCATGTTGTTAGTATGTACAAATATAAAAACCTTTTCAATGTGAAAATATTAACTTACAAGTTCAAAGGGCAATGGAAAATACAGGAGCAACTTATGAAGTCTCAAGCTTTTTTGACCTGGCATCTGTAAAATCATGTAAGGAAAATGATATTTGTCATTGTAACAGATTTTATTAAAGGAAGAGTCAAAGCAAAATGTATTCTGGGCTTCAAAGAATTGTGACCAAAGCCAATAATAATAATAAAACTCCTATATCCTCACATGTTTAAAAGACAAAATCAAAAACGGAAAAGTCATTACATTGAGAAAGGTTTGGTTAGAGAAGCCCTGGTTTTGCTTTTTGTTTAAGAATGAACTAGACAAGGAGGAAAAATATCCTCCAAGGTAAAATACAGTGTCTGTGAAAGGAAGAATTACAGGCTCACTTCTGACAGTTACCTCAAAATTCTCTTCTATATTTTTTTTTAAAAGCTAGGTCCCACAATATTTAAAGCTGCAGACACTCCAGTGTTGCCTGTGTGGCATGACACGGAAAGGAGAGAATAGCTAACACAGGCATCATTTAAAATAGTGGAATATATTCCATAAAATTAAATCAAGAAATTTAGAGGTTTTACACATTTGTAGGTTGGAATAAGGATACAACTCCAACAAAATGCAAAATTCAAGAAAGAGTAAGGTAAGATCTTGGTTGGTTTTACCTGGAAGTAAGAACCTATTAAGCAAAATGAGCTGTACCAGTATCCAGTTACATATTGATTTCAGCCTCAGCCCCAAAACAAAGTGAATCTGGAGGTGGGGTTTTTTGGTGTATGGTAACATATGTGCCATATGGAAATGTGCTAATCTTATGGAGCATTATATGTTCCAAACAAAAAAAGATCGGGTATTTCAAAAGGTATTAAGGATTAGTCTCAAATTCTGACCCCTATAAGGTAACTTCAGCTGGCCAACTGAAGGGTCCCAAAGCTATCAATTATCTGTGAAAATCTTAAGCACGTTTATGTCTTGATTTAAGGCAATACCTACTTGCTTGCAACTCATTCTGAAATAATACATTAATTGGGATAAAACAGCCTCATATTTAGATGTAGTATTAAATAAGTATATATTTATAAACTTTTTAAATCCACAGGTAACACAAGAATAGAACAGATGTCATGCTGCTAAGTAGTCATTCAAAATTGCATGTGGTTAGGTTTTTCACCCAAGAAGAAAGCATAATACCTCAGTGATTTATACATGTGAAAACAAAAACTGTGTGCCCAAATGCATATTGCATGCTATTTCCTTTCAAACCTGTCATATCCATTTGTTCATAATAAAAGCAGAATTATGAGTCTGAAGTTTGTATGTCTTCAATATAAAAATTTTATCTGAGATCTTTATTACTTTTGTTGCTCTCGTGTGTTGATGCATTTGTGAATTATTTTAAAATCAGGGTTTTTAAAAATTTCATCTATTTAAAAGTATTTTGAAGTACACAGTTCCTCTCAGCAAGTTTCACATTATTTTAAAAGTGCTTTATATGCTCTGTTGTTCTGATTTTGTGCCTCATAACTTTTGGGTTTTTAAAATTTCTTTAGAGTGTATTATTTTCTAAGAACAATAATTTTAATACTATATCTGTCCTTGTTGAATGATAAGTGAATTCTTAATAATCCTCAAGTCATACCAACTAATGTATCGTGAAGAAATGCATACTTCTGCAAACAGTTGTTTGAACAAATACTCGTAACATTCAACTGATTTTTTCGTAAGTGTTCTGTTTGTTTTATTCCCCCCACCCCATTTGTATCAATCTTAATATTGGTAAAATTATGTTTGGTTATTTCCTTACAGTTATTAGCACATTGATTATAGAACTGTTTTAATTTTCTTTTAGACTTTGGCATACTTCAACTTTATAGAAGATCTTTGCAACATATTTTTTTATATACTGAAGCAACAAAGAAATAGTAGCAGGTTTACTGGTAGAAAAAAAACAAATCAATGCTTAAGTGCAGGTGGTCAACCAAGTGTCGTCTTCATGAGCCTGACTTCTGTGATTCATGATGTCGTTGGTTAAACAGTAGTATTAGTAATGGGTTTCTTGATTCATGAGGTTATGTTTTTCTCCATGGTTCCAGAGAAGCTTTTCTGAAGTGGTAGAGTTGTACATTTCAGTTGATTAAAAATTTCATACTCAACTTTGCATCTTTAGTCATAAGAACAGTCTGAAGGTAACAGGGGGCATCCTCCCTGAAGAATCCATAGCAAAGTTGTTCTCAAATCAAATTTCTGATCTATCTGAATGAGGAACTTAGAGGTCTTTGTGCAGTTGCAGGGCTACAGTCTTGTTGGGATGAGGGTGACGTGGTGGGATAGTTCAGATGACTGGAGTGCTGGGATGGATGGATGCAGGCTCTTCAATAAGGCCAGGGGAGAACGTGTGGAACACGTGAGAACAGCAGGACTGAACAGGGCTCTGCTTTGAGATGGGTGATGAGCCATTAGGGTTGGAATTACTTGGCAGACCAGTATGGGTGGTGGTGTGGTGGCTGTCTGCTACAGAGTTCCTGATCTGGAAGAAGATGAGGCCTTCCTCAGACAACTGGAAGAAGCCTCGTGTTCCCAGGCCCTCGTGGGAAATTTTAACCACTTCAGTGTCTGATGGAATAGCATCATGACAGGGCACATGAATTCCAGGAGGGTTCTGGAGTTCAGGGATGGCAACTGACAACCTAAAGCAGGTTATTGAGCAGCTGGCAAGGTGAGACATTTTGCTGGACCTCATACTTACCAAGAAGAATTAGTTGGGAATGTGAAGGCTGGGGGCAGCCTTCAGGAGTCTCTGTTCTTAGAGATAGACAGAACCCATCTGGATACTGCTGTGAGCAACCTGCTGCTGACCCTGCTTTGAGCAGGGGGTGCTGGACTAGAAGATCTCCAGAGGTGCCTGCCCATTTAATCTCTTCTGTGAAATGTTCTTCAGACAATTCAGAATAGAACTGGATCCATAAGAAAAGGGGGGTGGTTTAAAAGGATAGACCTTTTAAAATAGTCTTGATTACTTTGCATATAGTTGTATCCAAACATTTACATTTGGGCATCTGCCTCTTTCTTCAGCCTGTATGAATGTTATTTGCACATTGGTGCATGAAAAAACCTTTAAAAGGGGTTCAAGTTGCATCACAAAGTTATTCTGTATGTTTTCCTGTTGTGTCATGCCAGAAAAGGAGAGCAGAACCTAGCTCAAATTGCTCTGATTAGTTTCATCAAAATGCATGCATCACCAACAAAGTACAAAATGCTTTACTTCATTTTCAAACAGTGCATTTAATTATTGTTTGCCCTTTGCATGAACTTATCTTTGAAGGTGGTCTGATTTATGGCTAATCTCCGTTAGGAACAGACCCAGCGCCTTAGATGTAATCTAAGCCACTTCTGTCTACTGATTTGGTCATTTTACCACTGGGCTTGTATTTCAAATTATTTGTCTTTGTTGTTAGTTGGCTAATTAATGCATGCATTTAAATTTGCTGTCTACAAGTAAATATGTTTTACAGTTTCTCTTTCATCAGAATTTACGCTTTTTAGTTATTTTTAGTTTATTTATTGAGGACTAAGAAATACATGGCATAGCAAAGAGAGACAAAAGAAACCTGTCAGAATCAACTCCGTGATTTTTCTGATCCATTGTGGTTTTTTTTTTTTTGTTTTGTTTTGTTTAACTTAAGATTGTCTTGCAAGGACATGGAACGAGAGTGACTGCAAAATCGCAGCAGAGTGGAGAGAAAGCCTTTCGCTGTGATTACGATGGCTGTGGAAAACTGTACACAACAGCTCACCATCTTAAGGTGATGAGATGTAAAATGAGGGTTGTTACTTTGCAGGCATGATTTTTTTTTTTTTTTTTTTTTTACAGATTATGTGGTTAAAAGTAACAAATTAACAGAGAGCCAGTTGCAATGGTGCTGTTTTGCCAAATGTTTATTGGATTGATTTTACAATAACTGGTTGTCCTGGGTGCTCAGGTGATTCTGCTTAGTGTTCTGAATAGATGCAGGTGTGGGATCATGTTAGGCTCCTGTATTGCCAGCATGTAAGAGATCTCTTGTTGAGATAGTTTCTAGCAGCAGTGTTGCAGAAATTCTGAAATTCAGTGTTCACTTTATCTACTTTATATGTATGCATGATCATGCAAAAATTCCAGTTTTTGAAAGATTTGACCATAATAATACAAAGTCTGACTCTTCAGAGCAATCCAAAATTCAAAGTGAAAAGCTGGAACATCTTTTCTTTACGAGTGGCAACTCCTTAATTCTCTTCCTTTTTTAAATTAAGTAAAGGAATTACTTAAACAGTAGGGGTGTAGAGCTGTTCACATTCCAGTTTAGGCTGAAATAATCACTGGATGATGAGGTGAACTCCTTGCAGTGCTGCCTTGCCTCTGACAAAACATTTGGGAATCAGTGAGTAATTGACTCTAGGGATCATGTGTTAAAATGGTGTCCTTGCTGTAGAGGTTTAATGCAATGTAGGAGGATCATGAGAAGCACTCAGTGGAGTCAGAAATCAGATAGAGTGGGCTCTGAGGCATGTTTGCATACCGTCTTTAACGTAGTTGTATGATGGCAGCTCTGTGTGTATTTACAGAAACATTTTCTGCAAAACTAATTGAAAGCATCAGGTTACACCTTGGAAGAGACATCTTCAGTTTTAGGGAAAACATCATTACCATGTTTCATTTTTTTAAAATAACTTCTTAAAAATAAGACACTTGAATGTGCATCGTCGGATGAGAAATAAAATATGTTGTCTTTGAGAGTGAATTGTTTCTGTGTTGAAGTAATCAGATTATTTAATTTAAGTCAGTGTATTGGATGTCTTGACAGGTGCATGAAAGGTCACACACAGGAGACAGACCTTATCAGTGTGAACATCCTGGATGTGGCAAAGCCTTCGCAACAGGTAATCTTTTGTTGACTATCTCCTCCTGCTTGTTAATGTTTGTCTCTGTGTAAAGTAAGTTTTTAATATTGCCTTTTTTAAACTGCTAGGTAAAGAACTTTTTTTGGGAGAACTGCAGAAAAAAAAAGTTATCATTTCAGCTAGTGTAGCATATAGAAAGAAGAGAGGATTTCACTCAGTTACTGAAGGAGGAATGAGGTGAAACA